TACTGATGAGCTAATGGCTATTCTAAACACATATAAGACCAAAGTGAATCTTCGCATTTTTTTAATAATTTTTTTAATACTTTTATTTTTATTGCAATTTTTCCAACCAAAGAAAAACGTTCACAAACATGAGACAAAGTGAACAGAGGAGAGCGAGGATGTCACATTCAATAATTGTAACAGAAAAACATATCTATGTTACAGTACACTACAGGAAATTAGTCCCACCTCTACTATTTCAATTAAAGAGTGGGAAAAAGAATTTGGGACTCCTCTGCCTGATGACATTTGACAGGAAGCTTTGCACAGTATAAGCATAATTTCTACCCGAWCCAATTCAAAATCATACACAGGCAGGCTACACTATTCAAGCGAGAAAATTCATAAATATATAAAAACCCTGATTGCTCTCCCCTTTGTGAAAAATGCCTGATACAGTGCGGCACTTTGCTACATAGTTTTCTACTGTGCTCAAACCTTCAAAGTTTCTGGTGTGGCATTTTTTTATTTCTATTCAATGTTCCAATAAATCCAAGTCCAGTGGTAATATATTTGGAACCTCTAAATCAGGTATGCCCAACCAGTCGCTCGAGGGCGACTTGTCGCCCACCAGCTGGTTTCCAGGTGCCCGCGAAGCGCAACCACAGCTGAGAGCAATGTTGCGCTGGGGCCCAGGACTCATGTCCGCTCGCTGAGCTCTCYGGCAGAAGCGGTGGAGGTGGGAGGCAGGAGGAGGTAAATTTATGGTTAAGTAGATTGTTTTGTTTGACAATAATTTAAATTAAATAAAACTACCAACACATTACATTCTGTTTTATTTACTTTAAAGAAGTGAGGAGTAGGGAGACAAAAAAAATTTTTTTTGATACTGAGACTGGACGAGTAGCTCTCGGCAAACTGCCGACTTCAAAAAAGTACTCTTGGTTCAAAAAAGGTTGGGCACCCTTGCTCGTCCACGGGCCCAGACCACTTTTTGGTCCATTTCAGGGTGGCAAAGCTTCATCATAATTTTTGAATAGGTACATGTCTGTAGATGATATTTTCATATGATAGCCCTTCCAGAGTGGTAGCTAAATCACAGCAATCAGCTAATAAAGTTAATAACCCGTTAAGAAAACTTCTGTTTTTGACATTTTAGTATAGCTAGTTTTGGTTCATGATAGGTTCATTGGTCAAAGGTGTTTAATATTGTGTTTGGTATCATGGACCCTCTGGGCTTTCATTTAAGCCCTTATTTGTGTCTCTCTTATCAACACAGGGGTCACTAGAACCCTTTAAACCACAAATACTACACATTTTTGCACAATTTTCACCCAAATAAAATACTTTAATTTAGCTTTGTGACACCCAGGGGCATCAGGGACAGAAGAGTCTATTACTGCAATACTCACAGGACTCTAAGGATTCAGGAAATGTATAATATATCCATACTGTCTTAGTGGGAAGCGGTTGTAAGCCATAAGTAGAAGTCACAGGCTTAGGCTAGAATGTTAAATGGTTCTATGGTGTGTGTGTGTGTGTGTGTGTGTGTGTGTGTGTGTGTGTGTTTGTGTGCGTGTCGCTTGTTAGTTCTAAAAAACATAAATCAGCAAAAGTAGAAATTTACACTTAACATACTTTACAGGTCTATTAATCAGGTTTACGAGTTTTTCCATCCTGGGTCAAGGCTACAACATATTGTGTGTATTGTCTGTGAGCCATGTGGACTCTGTGCATATTGTCGGTAAACAGTTGAGACTTCATACTTGTGCGTACTGATCGCCTGACAAATTCCTTAATTTCTCACAATTTTAGTCATGGAGTCAACAGATGAGGAGGAGAAGATAGCTTGCATTTTAGCTTTTATTTTTATTTTATTTATTTAAAATACAGTATTAATTAATTTGTTTAAAACAAAATTAATTCTATGTACAGTAAAAAGATAACAATTACCATGAAATGAAAGGCAGCAATGAGAAGAAAACAAATCTCATATCTGCCCCTTTTTTTCTCTTTTCTTCTTTTGTTGCTTTAAAACAACAAAAGAAAGGAGGGGCGGGGCAAGATGGCGGAGGAGTGAGTCGTGTGTCGCGTGGGCTCCCGCTCCGACTTGCTCGTTTTATGGTTCTCCACTAAATGTCCTTGCTGTTTTGAGCATTTGGTCTGTCCGGACTCAACCCCTGAGTGATTCTTGCCTGGAAAAGTAGAAGAATGGCGACAAACTCGAGGAAAGGCAAACATTCCAGCTCTGCGGCTGTTAGGCCCGATGCCACCTCGGAGCAGGCTGCAGGTAAAACTGGATTTTCGGCGCCCCCTTCTCCCTCCCGCAGCGAGGCAGACGCACTCTCCTTGAAGTCTGACATTCTTGCCGCTATAAAAACCGACCTCTCAGTTGTGATCAAATCCGAAATAAAGGCGGCTTTGGCTGAAGAGTTTACTCTTATTAAAGGAGAGCTACAAGGAGTGAGAGCTGAAGTGGCTAACGGCACGATGCTACTTCGTGCTGACTTAGACCACCTTAAACAGAGCATTAAGGAGGTGGAGGACGGCCTGTCAACATGGCCCGATGAGRYGGTTGCTCTGCGCACCACCGTTTTGGAACTGAAATAAGAAGTCGTTGGGCTCAAAAAGAAGTGTGATGATATGGAAGGGCGCATGAGAAGGTGCAATGTGCAGATTATTGGAGTTCCAGAGACGCCAGAATCCAGCTCCACTTCA